AGACCCGAACACCCGCAAAACCTACCGTCCAAATCCGAATGATTGTTATTATTCTGGTAGAGCCAAACAGTAACCGACTTTACCTAACACCAGCCAACCACAGCCGACCTTGCTCCTGCCCACATTTATGCATGGTTGAGAAAGGAGAGTTCGGAAGTGATCGTAAGGTCATATTCGGCTATGTGTAATTGCTGCTTACTTCATGTCCACAGTCTGTTACTACACTTCGGACAAAGGGACAAGCTACAGAGGCACAGTAGAGAGACTGCGTGTAGCACAAAGGACAGTGTCCACCTGTCAGTACTGGACATCTCAGTACCCTCACACCCATAACCACACTCCCGAGGCCTACCCGTCAGCAGGACTGGAGCAGAACTACTGCCGGAACCCTGACGGAAAGGACCGGCCGTGGTGCTACACCAACAACCCAACAATCAGGTGGATGTACTGCGACGAGGTCTTCGCTTGCGACGGTATGGTTATATGCTTACCTGATTTGAATTAATTTATATGGCCGTTTAAAAAGATAGAGCTAGGACTGCCCAACTAACCGACAGCTATATACTTTAAAGAATCCGTCTTGGTAATCTCCAGTGTTCTAAGAGAGCCACACCTTGAGCACGTTAAAGATCCCACTGCGCTCCTGACTCAAGTTTTTTCTCCCATTCATACATATGATTTTACAACCCAGATTTCATATCGAAAAACTGACATTGACTTTCAATCTAAAATTCATTCAAATTTTAGAAACCTCAAAGAAACTGTGAAATAAACATAAGAAAACATTGGCAAGCATTAGATACTTCGGTATAAATGGATATCAACTTTTGTTCTTTTAATATCAGCCTTGCCGACACGTTGCTACTATGAAAGTGACAAGGGAACGACCTACGCAGGGCGAGTAAATAGGTAGGAAATTATATTTGGAAGTAACGCCAAACATATTTGTCGTTGTATGATGTTAGTTCCACTTGCCGGCTTCGTAGATCAAAATAGAAAGTATAGAATTTTATCAAATTGTTTTATTTCTGTCCACTTTAGAAATTTTATCGAATCCCTGAAAAATAATTTGGCTAAGACGTAGGCAAAGATAAGGGAATTTTTAGGCACATGCACGCCGTGAAAACCATTGTTTATAACCGTGATGAAGATGAATTCATATTTTTGGAACAGAAATTTTTGTGGTTGTCACCATATATAAACAGGTTATTCACATTTCATTAACATTGTGAGACATTCATGAAAAGTAATTCGCGTTGGTAGTTACATGACGTTGTTTAAAGTTAAAAGAACACAAGAGAATTTTGCTCACCTCCAGCTTTCGATCAGTCACTCTGATCTTCTTTCATAGACTGACCCGAGACTTACCAGATACCGTTATCCCAGTGTTGACGTCACACTTCAGATAAGCCACGTGACTAATCTCATCAACACTGGGTCAGTCTATTGAGGAAGACCACGGTGACTGGTCGAAAGCTTTTTTTAAGAACAATTCACCTGTGGTGGTACAGAACTTTTAACAATGTGAGACTTGTCAATTTGTACAGGGCAGGAGACCGGCTGTGTCAGAGATGGGACTCCCAGTCCCCCCAAAGCCATCCCCACAAACCGCAGGCTCATCCTGATGCGAGGCTGGAGGAAAACTTCTGCCGTAACCCTGACAATGACAACAAGGACCGGCCCTGGTGCTACACCACGGACGCTGTATGGAGATGGAGTTACTGTGATGTGATGCCATGCGTGGGTAAGGAACGAGAAAAACATCTGAGGATAAAGATTATGTAAATAAATTTGAATAATTAATAAGAAAGTTTTATAATTTTACAGTTGTAACTGTTGGGAATTTTATTCTTGACACATTTGGAAGTTAAGTGAAGGTGAACATCAATAAACATGATTTGCATAATTATGACCTCATTTCTGCTGTAGCCTTTTTGTTAAGACGGGCTGTCAGTGAGTCGAGAATATGATCAACTGATGTAACCCATGCAAATTCGGTTCTTTTTTGCGAAATTGATTATTGAAATTGTATAATTCGTCAACCGGAAGGGTTAACATCAAGGTATGAGGTCGTGGAACTCTTGTTTCAGTGTTTAGTAATATCGCCAACATTTTGTCCTGTAATTCGGAAATGATAAAGCAGTGTTTGGCAATACTAGGCAGAGCTTGGAAAATCATCATTTTAAATTCTAAGAAATTGACTCAATTATGTGCAAGCATACTTCAATTCTTTATCTTATGTCTATACATTTAAAATCGTCTCAGTAAGTCCCGGGTACTGTCTTAGCTAGCCCCCACCAATGCAAACACAACGGTAGTCAGAGGTAGACTGAGGCCTGGTAGTTTACGTTAGCTACATTTATTGGGTGAATCAACAGTACCACCTTGGTCTTTAACTACCGTATGGAGTCAAACCTGACCCCAGGCGTATATAGATATGTGCCATTTTAACATTTTATGCCGAAAACGAAATTCCTTCTATGAGTTTGTTTGGATATTTGTCTTCTATAACTTCTATCACGTTTGTACTGAGATTAGAACACCATATATTAGAAATGTTATGGTGGTCCAGTGGGATAAAAACTGACCCTTGCATTTTAAAACATGTGGGTTTTTTGTTGTCGTCAATATTTGTACCTTGCAATGTGTTTGTTTTAGTTTTATGCTGCCATTTGAATGACTTCATCATGTTGAATCAGTAATCTAAAAAACTGAGACCATAGAATTAGTTGCCTATAGCTATGTATTTATGGTCAAAGGTAATCGACATGGCTGCCGGTAGGCATCTTGTGTGAGGTGCTTAAATTATGATGACCAACAAAACGTTTACACACATAATCATCATGTTAAATTGTCCCTCTTAGATTAATGAAACTATACGCACTAATCACAAAAAGAGTCACAAAAACTATATTCGTGTAGAACATCATGGGTAAGATTTGTCGCAATAAACCTACGGTGGTTTGAGGGTTAAGAGCCCCCTATTGTGCCTTATACATACAGCCACTTATTCTTATATTCCATTTGTGTAATAGATCCTACACTCAAGGGAAGTTGCACACTAGGCATTTCATGTAAGGGAAAATGTGGATCGCCGCTTGAAGGAGAGCGGATCTGCCAGTGTGACGAGGATTGCAGCTTTTTCGGTGACTGTTGTGAGGACTTCAAGTAAGCCAACATTTTGTTTAAAATGACAGATTTCCTATGTAAATCCTAAACAGAAGATACATTTTTATACCGAGATCTATATAAACAGTTGTACCCTTCACAGACTTGACCGATTGTATTGAATTTTTTTTTTTTTTTTG